TGAATTAAATCAACCTAATCTAATGTTCATGACGCTTCGTCACGAAAAATTGTGTTAATTATCCTTCTGCAGAATCGTATTTGTTTTTCTATTGACCTCGTAAACCCAGATTTACTATGATAATTTTCAGATTCATTAATACAAATATTCAAGGCCACGGCTCGCGCTGTGACCAAAAATTTGTCGACCTTCAATAAACCCAAAGTTACACTCTGTCAAAACCTGAATCAAAAGTTGTTTTTAGTTCACCTAAAACTTAATCTGTGTTTCAAGTCTAAAAGACTAGGTCTTTCCTCCTCAACTGATACACTTCTGTTCTTCTTTGCTCTTCTCCTTTTTTTTCTCTTTCACTTTCTCTTTTTCCTTGACATTGTCTGCTTTCTGGGCAACCAGGACTGACAGATTCGGCTAACGTTCATTAGACAATGACTAATGGGCAAAAATCTTACGGACCGCCCGAACAAACAAATGACGAATACTAGTACAAAAATATAGAGTAGTACATGAAAAATGGTATACAAAAGATGTCTTTTGGCGGACAAAAAAGTACCGTGTGCATTCGCAAAACCAGGGCAATTCTTCATTTACAGGTAGAATCTGCGTCTGATCGCGTTGAACGAGAAAGTAGCTCATTTTGCCTTTAGTGCATTCATGTCATTCGGTGCAATCATGGATAAAATCTTCGGTACACATCCAATGCAACATCTATTCTTAACGGTGAGGTAGAAGTAGTCAAGCCTTAACCAAAACCTACCTTTTCAATGCAAACATTTGAATGCTACCTTGTGATTGTCCGTATCAATAGTTCCCCATATTTGTTTGGCTAGTGAAACCACGTGTATTCAAAATTCTTCTTCAGTATAAGAAGAATTTTAAATACATGAGGTCTTGGTCTACCTAATTCAAGTTCGTACCTCTTCTCGTGTATACAGGGTGTGTTTCTTATGATATACGAACTTCGGGTTGTGTATCTACATTTAAAAATAATGTTAGTTTGCTTTATAAACTACGGTTCAAAAGTTTCCTTACAAACACTCGTGGTGTTGAAGTTTTAGGAAAAAAATGGAAATTAATTAATATTTTCAGAACCGCTTCAGATATTTCACTGTGTGGTGTAGTGGAAGTTAATAAAGCTGCATATTTTTCAATGCAAAAATAATTTTTATCTTTAACAGTGGCGTGTGTATGGGTATTGACTTTGATAATATTTAAGAAAAAAATGGTACACCAATGGTTTTTAAAAAAACTATTTTTGAATTCCCCGTTCAATTTAAAACAAATGATCTCTCGTGAATCGTTTCTTCGATGCGCCATTTTTGAGTAAAAAAATAAAAACCGTTCTATTGTCTAACTTAAAAATTATTATTAATTTTATTGTAAAAATTAAACAATTAGGGGTAATGAGCAGCAACAACTGACAACATAAATATAACATTCAAACCAACGAAATGATTACAAAAATGATCGAAAATGGCCCCATTCACTTAGTATGCATGCTTCCGCTCTCATTCTCATGGAATTGAGGACTCGTTGAAAATACCCTGGAGTGTTTTTTATTCTATCACAAGCTGCAACTATTCTTCTCTTAATTCCTCTACAGTGTTAATGGTACTTGTGTACACTAGTGTCCTTAAGATAGCCCCATAAAAAGAAATCTAAACTGTTGAGGTCTGGGGCCTTGGTGGCCATTCTTGGGGCCCACCGCGGCCAATCCAACGATTTGGATAAACAGTTTGTAAATAATTACGAACCGCTACACTGAAATGCGCTGATGCACCAACATGCATGTACCACATATTGTTTCTTATTACTAATGGAACATCATCAAGCAGCAAAGGCAACTATTGTTGAACAAAATTGAGGTAAGTCTGTCGGTCAAGTCGTCCCGGCAAGAAGAATGGGCCAATAAAGTGGTTGCCAATAATTGCTGCCCATACGTTAACCGAAAATTGGTGTGGGAAATGGGTTTCGGTTACGGCATAGGGACTTTCTTCTGCCCACAAATGATTATTGTGGATATTCTGAATGGCATTTCGAGAAAAATTAGCTTCGTCCGTGAACAGAATCATTGATTCAAATTGCAGATTTGTGTGATTTTGGAAGATACCACCGACACAAGGTCACACACCTTGGAAAATCAATGGGAAGTAATGCCTGTACTCTTAAAATATGGTAAGGATATAAAAAAATCCACTAGAATTCTCCAAACAATTTGATGGCAAATATTTAAGTGTCTAGCGATCTTCCTCGTACTCGTTTCAGGATGTTCTTCGACTTCGTGCAGCACTGCTTCCTCAATTTCAGGTGTTCTCACACTTAGAGGTCCACCTTCAGATGTTCCTTTCGGACAGAACCAGTTTCAACAAGGCGACGATGAATATTAGAAAGGTTCAACTATCTGGCAAAGCACGATAGGGATATCTCTGGTGATAAATCCGTCTGGCTTGCTCACCATTACCGTCGGCAAGACCATATACGTATTGCGTTTTCGCCAATTCTGCATTTGAATAATTCACCATTATTAACAAGATTGTAAAAACTAAGCAATGAAAAAGAGGTCACAGCGAACAGATTGAATAACAGAGGCTTGTCAGATGTCAAAAGCCAGTGACATGTTCCAGAGCAACTAGATACTTATCGCTAAATTGCATTCTTCAATTATTACATTAATTTCTCGGACCATAGAACGGTTTTTATTTTTTTACTTAAAAATGGCGCATCGAAGGAAAATTATTCAAGAGAGAACGGGGGATTCAAAAATAACTTTTATTTGGCAAAGAACCATTGGCGTACTATTGTTTTCTTAAAAACAATATCGAAGTCAATACCCGTACGCACGCCACTGTTAAAGCTAAAAATTATTTTTGCACTGAAAAATATGCAACTTCATTAACTTTCACTACGTACTAAATATCAGTGAAATATCTGCAGCGGTGCTGAAAATATTAATTAATTTCCATTTTTTTCCTAAAACTTCAACACCACAAGTTTTGTAAGGAAACATTTTGAACCATAGTTATAAATATAAAGCAAACTAACATTAATTTTTCATGTAGATTCTCATCCTTCGCATATCATTAAGGACACCCATAGCAAGGGTCCTACGCTGCTACCACTCTCGCACTTCAATCGCCAATCTCTTCTGTTTTCCCAATCTTCTTCATTCATTATCCCTTTCCTCCGCGATGTTTTTGGCCTACTGTTGGTTTCATCAGCCATTCTCATGACAAGGCCGTACCATACTAGTTGTCTTCTTTCTACTCTATCTACCATGGTATCTTTTACAAACGTCCTTGCTCTGATCATATCGTTTCGGATATAGTCCAAGCTAGATACTCTACACGACCGACGTAGGACGTCCATTTCAACTGCTTTTAGCTGGTCTTCTATTTTTGATGTAAGCTGCCAGCCCCATGTAGTTATTGGCTCCATGATACTGTGATAAAGTTCAACGTTGTGTTAATGCTAACTTTGGAAGACCATAAAATGGAATTCAATACCTGGATTGCCGTTTTACCCTGAACAATCCTGCTTTGTATATCCTTTTTTGTTGAACTGTCAGATGATAAGTTCCAGATATTTGAACTCCTGGGTTTGTCGGTTTGTCGTATAACTACATTGCCCACCTGAAGAGCAGTGGGCAACTCTTGAATAATGAGGTATTGCGTTTAAATAACAGTGATGTTCAACCCCCATGCACAGTATTCATGTATACGTTCTCTAGTCATATACCCCATGTTCTTCTTCATAATTCGCTATCACTACTTGGTCATCCGCTAAAAGTAGTGTATAAAGCACGTACAATACATACCTGAAATACCTGCTTGTATCTAGACAGAGGATGTCGTTTATTTTTATGTAATAACAGAAAGATGGTCCAAACGCATTGCATTGCCTTGACTGTCGGCTGTGACTTTTCTCTTGACCATTGTTTTATCTTTTTAAGAGACATAAACGATAATAGCATAAATCTCTCATCAAAATCTCTCTGTTTATAAAATTAAAGATAGAATATGAAAAATGGGGCCTAAGTATGAATATGTCAAAGATGCAGTATCTTAAATAGAGAATGATGAGGAAGATCCAGAGCTAGAAATTATAACCTTAAAATGATGTAAGGAATACAAACATCTCGGATCTATAATATCCAAAGAAGAGACATTTGAACAATATTAAAATCTCATCACAAGGATCTTCCTTCGTTGGTGACTTGTCCGTAAATCAGACGATTCCTCAAAGATTTGTTATTATCGCGACTCTTATGTCAGATAATCTCTCTATCGATTTTCGGATGAAGCAACACTAAGAAGTAATGATTGATTGCACTTCATGTAAGCTTACTGTCTTTCCCTTTACCCTTGTCCTGTTTTTATAGGAGATCGACTGCCTTGACTTCGTACTCGGAACCTCATAAAATAGTGGACTGAAACATAACATCTTTCTTTGTAGATGGAGGGGCTGGTGAAAGAAATGCAGGATACGGAGCATGGAGGAGTCCCCGTCAGAAGCCAAAAGATATTTTTAACATCTATTCCTGCTGCTTTCATGGGTAAGGATACTATCAATTATGTAGCTGCAATTGAGGGATAGCATATAATGAAGTTTAATAATACAGCTTTGGTCCGTCTGAACAACAGAAGACTAACCGTGTATAGCTGTTTCATGCTTATTGGCACTCATCAGTGTGGCCTAAGTGCCATCTATACCAGAATCGATCACTGCGAGTAAATATCAGTTCGCATTGAAAGCCCATTACTATGAAAGCTTGATGCCGTCGATTGTGGCGATATAGTAGATGATGGCTTACTCGTCATTGAAAACTGCTGTACGATGTTTCATGCTTATTGGCATCGCAAGCTCTTGAAATATCAACTCGCCTTTTAATTATATACGTGTAGTAATTATTGGTAATCTAAAGCTCTTAAAATATCATCAACTCACTTTTTAAGTATCCTTGTAATAATTTTTATGCTCATTCTTATAACAATTATTCTGTTTAGGTTATGACCTGATAGAATGGCTGATGGAGCGCCTAGGAATCGAAGAATCCGGTAAGTTTATAACAGCCAGAAGTTGTCAACTTACATTATCTAACAGCTGCGTTAAATTTGAGCTAAATATTCTTTTCTGTTTTTTTTCAGAAGCACTCAACATAGCCAATCAACTGTGTCAATACGGGTATTTTTTTCCTATCAGTGATTCCAAGAACCTAGTCGTCAAGGATGACAGCTCTCTCTATCGGTTTCAGGTAAACATATTATTTATATTCTATTTTTTTAATCCAAGAATGCCTTAACGACATACATATTGAGCCTATGTCATAAAGATGTTTAAAAAACTCAATGGTTGACGTTCTGATATTGCTTCTTCGTTTAGAACCCCTATTACTGGCCTTGGCAGAACCGCCCTCCAGATAACGTCGAATACGCCATTTATTTAACAAAAAGAACGCTACGGAATAAGCAGAGGCATGGATTGGAAGACTACGAGGTAGAGGCTCTCACCAACCTCAAGAAGAATTTAGCCAATAAATGGGATTTCATCGTATCGCAAGCTGAAGAACAAGTAGTATTTTTCATAGTCGACTCAATTTAACTTCAGCATTTCTCAAGCAACTATTTCTTTAGGGATCGTTTTGCTGCCTGAAACGCTTCACAGATTGCTCTTTTATACCATACCTACATTTGACGTTAATGTGAGAACCTAACATAAATCCAAAAACCGTCTATACTTCAAAATCCATACCATAATTATTGTATTAGCTTATAGATCGTTACTCATTTGGAGTACTGAAATTGAAAAAGTTTTTCAAACAGTTAGTTCAATTACAACCCGCTTTTAAACGTTGGTATCGCAAATCTAACCAGGTTTTATTTATTCGAATTGAAACGATCGGATTTAGAATCAAAACCATTGGAACCGATTTCTTCTGGATGATTGGTATCCATTGCTTCAATTCCGTCTACAGTATCGTTCCTTTGAAACATGTCGTTCAGAACCCATCAGCTGTACCTCTGATTAGTAAAAAATTATCTAATTTTGATGTAGTCATTAGACTGAAAAGCCATATTAAAGGTCTATGATAAATTTCTAATATGAACAATTATTATCTAGGTAAAGCAGTCGAAAGGACTGAAAAAGGCAGATAAGCTGATAAGCGACAGTCAAGAGAGAGCTTATTGGAGAGTTCACAGACCACCCCCTGGAATGGTTAGTCCCTTAGAGCAATGTCCTGTGCCTACAAGAACGTGGAGTACCGGTTGTCGGACGAGAAAAAGAACTATCGAGGATTGTCGGAGAGAGGTGAGGAATATTCGTGTTCCAAATGAACTACAGTATATTCAGATAAGAGATAGACCGGATGTAAACAAAAGGTTCGGGTGATTTTCACGCTAACGCCGCCCGTCTCGACGTAAAACAGGAGCCCTCATTGGTCAATTCGCAATTAAATGCCTATGCCAAGCGGCAGAGCAGTCGTATCAGGCAGAGTCACATTCAGGTTCAGACGTGTTACGTATGTCGTGTGCATCATTGCAATTTGATATTTCTTTGGACGTTTTCGTTTGTTATCTTATTAAGTTGTTGAGTTTGTCGTTGTTATTGT